CCGTGGCAGGAGCGCAGCGCTGTACATGTGTGAGAACCCTGAGTGGCCAGAGCACATTCCGGCCAAGCCTGTGGTTTTGAGTCAGTAGGTGTGTGATGAGCTCTAGCCAGCTACATTTCTTACATGTTTTTCGGCGGTGTGTGTGTGTGTGTGCCCATGCTACTGACTCAAAGACCACAGTTTCAGAACCACTGACCAAGACTTTTTCCAGCACCTTCTGCATACCATCCAATCAGCCCTTTTTAACACCAAGTGAGCAGGGCAGGCAGATTGGCTCCCATTTACTGTGGCTCTGATCTGGCCCTTCTTCCCTAAAAAATCCACCACCTTGTCCAAGTAACCTTCTCTGATGGCCAGAATTCTTTAAAACCTAGAAGTGTATGCTGGCTGCCTGCCCATATTCCCCTACCTGTTCCCCTCCAGATGCCATTCATTGTTTATCTATGTGTCGTGTCTTCCGCTGGCTTGGCCACGTGTTTCTGGACGGGGGGACTCTGTCGATCAGCACCTGTATCAAGGCACTGGGACACACGGGCACTTGGGAAGCATCTGACGAAGGGATGAGTGGTGGAAGGTGTGCCCACCTAGAGACAGAAACGATCTCTCTTGAGCACCAGACCTTGACCTTGCTCCACCTCCTTCCCCACTGTGTTACTACTGGAAATATGAACGGCTTATACACGGGGAAGAAGGTGCCCAGGTTGCTTTAAATCAGAGCAGCACAAAGACTAGACAAATGCGGGGTTGTAGGGTGAGACCGATCCAGGTATAAATCCTGACTCCAACACAGACGGGGCAGGTATTCAGCCTGGAGCTCAGGTTCCTAATCTACAGAATGGGAACATTTTGTTGCTTACTTCTCAAGATTGTTACAAGAAACAAGTGGCCTCAAGTTTGACATGTTCCTAGGAGGCCCCTGACAAGTGATAATGATTTTGAGCAGCGAGCTTTCCAAGCAAAAGAGGAATGAGTGATATTTCAGGAGAGTTTTTTTTTTTTTAAGTGAAAAAGGGATTCCATTTTATTTGAAAGATGATAACAAGATAAAAACATTCCAGGATTCTTTCCCCTAATTTTAATGAATCAAGATACACCAAATTCAATCTTTTTTTAAAAAATGATCTCAAAGGGATAATAAAGCTTGATTTATATTTTCTTTACCAGCTACTTTTATTTCATGAGCCTGGCATTTCCATTAAAATGCTATTAGGAAAAAAAAAAAAAGGATTTTCCAGTATTTGTGATGGTGGGGAGCCCAATGTGATCATCGCAATTATCTTCAGCAAAGAGGCCATTTCTCATTGTTTTATTTCTTCTTGGGGATCAGCTCATTTCCAGTGCCATCATCCAGCCTTCATCCAGCTGAGTAAACCACTTCCCCTTGAACTTACAGTCCGGAGTCCAGGACAATGCTGGCTAAGGCTTTGGGACCATTTTGTTGGGAGGTTACTCAAGAGATTCAAGAAGGACAGGGAATGGAGCCACATATTAAACACTGCAGTCCTGGAGGAGCTGCTGTGTAGCTGAGGGAGCAGGTGCATTCCGTGCCGCTCCAGGGACAGGATGTGGAGCAGGAGGCTGATGCTGGGGCAGGCATCCTCTGACATGTCACAGGAGTCCTGGAGGAGACAGAGTCCCTAGCCCATCACCCTGAAAAACGTGCTGATTGAGTGATCCTTACGACTACTGTCACCCTCTACATGGATTCATGTTTCTTCTCTAAAATAACATTATGAAAACATTCTGGAACTTGATAGAAGTGACAGGTACCCGACACTGGGAAGACACTAAATGCCATCACATTGTCCACTTGAAAGGAGTCAAATGGTGAATTTGTTTTTTTAAAAAATGGAGTCCCTGGACAGAAGGAGCTCCAAAGCCACATCTGCCTTCGAGAGTGAGTGCTCCTGTTCTATGTGCCAACCAGGGCACTGTGTTCAGTGGACTGTGTTTAGTCCAAGACCATGCCCCAGAGATGCTAAATATATGCGAACAAAGGGCTAATTATACTAGAGCTTAGGCTGAATGTAGTACACCACACATCCGTGAGAAAATGCTTGTGGAAATGTCAGTGCCGCAGGAAGACACTCGTGTTGAAACAGCGCTAAAAGAAGAGTTGAAAGGACAGGTGATGTGATTCTAACTTCAGGACGCCAGATAAGAATCCAAACAGTAACAGTGCTTGTGTCCAAGATTACAGATGCCTTTGATTCCTTTATCCCTTTCTCAAAAGATTTGTGAAGGGCACGCATTACTGTGACACTCTAAAAACAAAATCTTTATAAATAAATCATAGCCCTGAGGATTGTGTAATGCCCCAGCGTGAGTCGTGGATGGTAAAGCTCTCAGAGCCCTGGCTGAGAACCGATGGATTTATAATTCCCAGTTTCATCAGAGCAGTGGGAGCACAGCTTTGTGCTGTGCCTCAGTCTCCCCACCTGGAGCAGGGCTCTGGTCCCCACTGGCCTCCCAAAGCTGGAGGAATGAAGAAGCGGCAAGACCACGTATGCGGGCAGGCCCCGTTGCCTGGCGAGCCCTCTGTGCTTTCGTGTTGTTCTTCAGCAGATTCCAACAGCACATTGCCAAGTCCTCCCTCGGACAGAGGCTCCCAAGGTACCCCGCATGTCAGGGATGGCCGCTTGTTCAGCCACATCAGAGCTGTTTTCCACTCAGTGTCACTGTCCCCCATTTGCCTTCCAGTAACGTAAGTGGGAAAACATTTCATTTTACCCGAGAAGTCACCACCTGATGTTTATGTACTGTCTGAAGTTCAAGGTAAGGGTGGCAAACCCACTTTTAGGGAATGTTCCCTCTCCAGCAGACTTGGGCCTTGTCCAGTTTGGAGGAGAGGGGCATGCATGTCCCCGGACCCCTCCCTGCTGTTGACCTTCAGAAAGGACTTGTCTTTGTGTTGCTCTGGTTCTGTCCTTTCCTTGTCCTTGCTTGGAAGCATTCAGACCCACTTAGAAGCAACTGTGAGCAGGTCTTTCAGAACTCGCTGTTCCCACCAGGCAGCTCTGTTCTCCTGGAGGCTGGACTCTGGGCCACTGGGGCAAGGCTGTCCAAGCTGGTGTTTCTCTATGGAAATTCTCTCCCACTTTAAATGCGATGGTGTGGCTCCAAATGCAGACACTCCCAAGGCCAGCTGAACCACCTCAAGAAAATGATGCCCTTGCACCCAGGAAGTGCTGGGTCCCCAGAGATAAGCTATGGACAAAATATGGCCCTCACCTTTCACGAGCTCATAGTGAGCGAGTGAGGTTGACATGGACACCAGGGCGGCACAGGTGTGATGAGGACGACAAGGAGGTCCGTGTGAGGGGCACAAGTGGGGTATTGAAGGGCATCACCTGCAGGGCCAAGGAGACAGCTCAGCTAGCTTGAAAAGTGAAATAGCTCCAGGCCAGGCAGCTAAGACTAGGGACAGCAGGTACAGACACCAAGATGGTACTAGCTGGGGACTGACTGCATGCTTATTAGAAAGTGGGAGCATCCGACTAGGCTGCAGTTCCCCACTGGTTTGCGTGAGGGACTGGTGTGTGGTGGGCAGGATCGGGCTGGACTGCAATACCCATTGGTTCTTATAGAAGACAGGGCTGGAAATAGAACTGACCCAGCAATTGCAACCACCAGCATATGCATAGACTGATTGGGGCAATGATCTATGCTGGGCCCTGTACTGGCAAGCACAGGAATATGTCTGGGATCACTTCAGACAAAGTTTCTTTGGGAATCTCCCCAGTTGAACTGCTCAGCTCAGAACCCCAACCATGCAGAGAACTGTAAGTCCAGGTCTGACCGTTGAGTGCATGTGTCAAAGCTAAACAAATCAGCAGGGCTTTGTGTGTTGAAAAAGGCTCAGGGGACCTAGAGTGTTTGATCTTGGAAGATGGACTGATTGATTTGAAAGGCAGAGCGACACACAGAAAGGAGACAGAGACAAAGATCTTTTCTCTGCTGATTCACTCCCCAATTGATTGCAACAACCAGGGCTAGACCAGGCTGAAGTTAGGAGCCTGGAACTCCATCCTGGTCTCCCACATGGGTGGCAGGAGCCTAAGCACTTGGGCCATCTTCCACTGCTTTCCCAGGTATGTTAGTAGAGAGCTGGACTGGAAGCAGAGCAGCCAAGACTCAAATGAGTGCTCATCTTGGTTGCTGGTGTTGCAGGCAGCAAATTGACCAGCTGTTCTACAACCCTGAAGTTAGATGTAAGCATAGGACAAGTTGGGGGCAAAACCCCAAGGCAAGAGTTGGCAAGGCAGGGGCTGAGGCAGAGTACAAGCTGGTTTCAGGACCAAGGAGGCAGACCTGTGCTGCAGCAGGAGATGAGATGTTGGCATTGAACTCTGCCTTCCTCTACTTGAGTAATGGGAAGGTGGCAGGGACATTTAAAGAGACAGGAGGTGTGAGAGGGGATATGATGTCAGTCTAGAGCTAAGAGCATTGCGAGCAGGGGTGGGTATTGGAATGTTCTCATTAGCTGCCAATTTTCTGGAATATCAGAATAATTTTAGCACAAAGTATCCAGATTAAGGAATCAGACACCTGTGATCAGTTTGTGTGTGTGTGTGGGCGGGTGTGCCCACTAAGAAAACAGTTCAGCCAGAACACGTAATCATTCCTATTCCTAGAATTGGGTAACTGAGGATGTATCTTTGCAAACTGTTCATTGAGCCGTGCCCATGGCTTCTTGCCAGCCCTCAGAAAGATTTTTATATTTGTTAATTATCCAATTACTACCCAGAAGTGGGAGTTTGAAATCAAACCCAGACAGCTCCACAACGGAGCGTTCCCTTGAATCGTGAGTACAGGAAAGGATGTTTTCCATATTGGGAAACAGGCTGGCAGAAGACAGGGAGGCTGAGCTCCCAGCCCTGGCCATGTCCCAGGGTCACCTCGCTGGGGTCGATTTTCTGCCTCCCCAGGTCATTGCCCGTCTCAAGTCAAGGGCAGTTTGCCAGGCAACCCACTCCATCACCAATCCCTGTGTGCTGCAGGTCCCAGCAACTTCCAGTGGCCAGCAAGGAGGAGCCTGTGTCGGGCAAGCAGACATGCGTCCCGGACGGCGGCGACAGCAGCAACCCCGAGGCCCAGCTGCCCTCCATCTGCCTCAAGCAGGTGTTCCCCAAGTATGCGAAGCAGTTCAACTACCTGCGCCTGGTGGACCGTATGGCAAACCTGTTCATCCGCTTCCTGGGGATGAAGGGCACAATGAAGCTCGGGCCCACTGCCTTCCGAACCTTCATCAGGTCAGTGAGACCAAGCTCCCCGGGGTGCGGGTGGTAGTGGGTAGGGTAGGGTCAGTCCCACATCTGGCTGCTCAGATCTCCTCAACTACTCTTGGCAAAACCCAGGTGCCGGGTCAGCACCCTGAGCGGCTTACACAGGGTTTGGAGAGGAGGACTCTTGTCTGTTGGGTGGATGATTGAATGCTACAGATTTGACGCACTCCCAGTCTCTGTTGCTGATTCACGCACAGTTATGGGCACTGAGGTCTCTGAGCCCCCTGGGGCAGGCAGACCTTGCACTGTCCCTGTGGTTTCTCCATGGCTGTGCGCACCAAGCGACGGTGAAAACCACAGAGGAAAAAGCCCAACGCATGTTTCCCAAAGTGTCAGTCTCAGGAAGGGAAAGTTAAATAATTCAGCTGATAAATAATTGAATACGTTTGTCCTCATATAAAAATAACAGGATTCTGTTATAATGTGTGACACAAAAATTTGCCTGTGTTCTAAAGCCAACACACACGATAGCAGAGAAATTGCCTTTTTTGCTGCAACGTGCAGTTAAAGAGTCGCCACTCGGGTTCTAGGGAGTCTGCTTGAATTTGCCCTTTGGAGTCACAAGGGGCACTTGCCAGTTAGGTGGGCCTAGGGCAGTGATGTCTCCTTAGCCTCCCCGACTTCACCCTACAGAGTGCAGAGCAAGCTGCTGCCTGGGCCCAAGGACTGCCAATGTGAGAGGGCTTAGTCAAGGCCACGTGGAACACACCCACCTGACTGCGGACAAGGAGGGGAAGGGCCACAGGGCACAGAGGTCAGGACAGCTGAGCTCCGAGCTCTGCAGCTCAGGGGGTGCTGGGGGCTCCCATAAGCATTTCTGTTTTTTTTGTGAGGAAATCCCAGGGAGGTTCTACACAGAGAAATGTGACAAAGAGGGGAGACCCAAATTCCTCCAGTCCTATCAGCACACAGTGTATATAAATTTATAGGATGGTTACACGTCACCCCATAAATGTAACAATCATGCAATGTCAAACTTTTCTTAATGTTTAAGGAGATGGAGATGCTAACTTACTTGACTTGACCATCACATAATGAATATGTGTATCAAATTATTTTACTCCTTAAATACATGCAATTAAAATGTCATATTTTTTAATTCTAAAGATTACACAAAGGGGCCAAAAGTTAAGCCACTGCCTACAACATTACAAACCAAACCAAGTGCTGGCTTGAGTCCCAGCTACTGGACTTCCAATCCAGCATCTTGTTACTAAAAGCAATGGAAGCTGGCCTGAGAGCTTGGACCCCCGCCAGCCCCGTGGGAGACCTGGCTGGACTAACAGGCTGCTACTGACTTTGACCTTGCCCAGCCCTGGCTGTTATGACCATCTAGGGAGTGGATACAAGACTCTTTCTCTTCCTCTCTTTCCCCTACCCTCCCTCCACATCTCTCTGTTATTGTGCCTTTAAAATACATAAAGTGAATTTCTCTCTTTAAAAAAAAAGTTGCATAGAAACCTGCGGTTTGAGATGAGTGGTCAACACTGTTAGTTTCTTCTTACAAGGCTAAAGGCATTCTGATGAAGGTTGTACATTCTTATATAAACTTCAGGCAGACAGGTGAGCATACCAAGGATCCCGCACAGATATGGCACAAAGGAGGCTCCTGTGGAGTGGCTACCAAGCAAATCCAGACCCTTGTACACCCATGAAGGGCCCACAGCAGGGCACAGGGCGATGGCACTCTATCAGAGCGCGGACACCTTGAGCAGTCTGCCAGCCCTCAGTGCTACTGTCGTTTCCCCTTGTTGCTGGCTTTAATATTCCTGCCTCATGCCTCCAAGTGACACCTTCACAGTTTTATCCACTAAAGCAAGTAATTAGAATTCTCGAGTCAGAAACTATTTTTGTCAGAGACTTTTCTTCAAATCTAGCTGTTAAATGCTCACACCAGCCTTCTGATAGCCTAGGCAGGACGCCACTCAGAAGCACTGAATTTCTTCCATTTCAGCCAGCCAGACATGGGGTTTGCCCAGCAATGACTTTGGCCTTACCTTGGTTTTGATGAGTGGGGTAGGGTGGGGGAGGAGAGCAGAGTGGAAGGAGCACAGGCTGGGGCTGGCATAAAGGCTCAACTAATCCTCTACCTGCAAGAGCCAGCATCCCGTATGAATGCTGGTTGGTGTCCTGGCTGCTCTACTTTCCATCCAGCTCCTGGATTGTGGTCTGGGAAAGCAGAAGGGGATGGTCCAAAGCCTTTGAACCCTGCATGTGAAAGACCCAGAGGAGGCTCCAGGTTCCTGGCTTCAAATTGGCTTAGTTCCCCAGCCATTGCAGTCACTTGGGAATGAACCAGTGTATGGAAGATCTTTCTCTGTCTCACCTCTCTGTAAAATCCACATCTAAAATTTCCAACCAAAATAAATAAGTAAAAAAAAAAAAAAAAGAAACAAACAAACAAAAGAGAGGAAAAGAAAAGGAAAAGAAAAAGAAAAAGAAAAAGAGGGCCCAGCGTGATAGTGTAATGGCTAAAGTCCTCGCCTTGCACATCCGGGATCCCATATGGGCTCCGGTTCTAATCCCCGCAACTCCACTTCCCATCCAGCTCCCTGCTTGTGGCCTGGGAAAGCAGTCAAGAACAGCCCAAAGCCTTGGGTCCCTGCACCCACGTGGGAGACCTGAAAGGAACTCGTGGCTCCTGGCTTCGGATCGGCTCGGTTCCAGCTGTTGTGGCCTCTTGGGAAATGAATCATTGTACTGATCTTCCTCTCTGTCTCTCCTCCTCTCTGTATATTTGCCTTTCCAATATAAATAAATCTTTTAAGAAGAAAGAAAAGAAACGGCAAAAGCTCGGGGGGTCAGGCAGGTCTGGCTTCAGGACCGAACACATGGCCCACGGGCTGTGTAGCTTCAGTAAATTCCCTACCTTCTTGGAGTCTCTGTTCGTCACCTGTGAAATGGAGATGAGGGCTCCTACTTTGCAGGGCTGTCAGGAGGTGGAGATGTGAGGTGAGGCATGACGAAGCGCTCATGGAAAATACGAGCTGCAATATGACCGTGCGAGGACTGCAAAGCTGTTTGCAGTTCAGCTCTTCCACGCGCTTACTCAAGTGTCCTCAGATGCTGGAGAGCCCCTGGGCCACAACCTCGTTCCAAGGAGCTGCCTGTTCAGCGGGAGTCCTGTGGCTGCTATGTCCTCCAGGCAACGACAACTTCAAAGAAAGCCAGCAACAGGCATGTGCTGGGACGTGTGCCGAAACACCACTCAGGGATACGCTCTGACTCATGGAGGAGCTGCATCTGAGTTTCAGCAAGAGACATCCACCTACATCTGGCTCCAGTGCAATCATTTCCTCTCGTAAGGCAGGAAGCTTGGAGACGGAGGTCCCAGGGCCCATCAGGGAGTCTGCAGCATTGGCCAGTGCCCCACCTGTCTGTCATCTGCTCTCCCATCCTAAGTGTGCGTGCAAGTTGACCTTGCGGGTTCCCGGGAGGAGATGCGTCCTGAAGAAATGGGGGGACAGTGCTGTCTTTTGGCAATTGGCAAAGTTTATTTCCAGGGTTTCAGTTTTTATGCATTTCATGAAACAATGGTTCATACATAACTCAGAATTAGATCGTGTCTAAGAACACAGAGACAACAAAGAAACTAACAAGGCGACTTAGTCAAGGTTATAGTAACAGGGAATAGATGATACTGTCCGTCCTTGATTGACTAGACAGAGCACAGATGTCGCCTGTCTTCAAGGACAGCACGAAAGCACATCCAAGTGCTCACTGGGGGCAGGAGCACACTAGGGGAGAGGCCTTCCGCCTTCTCTTTCCTGGAGCCTCTTCTCAACAGGGTCCCACAGGCCTCCGCTGTCCCAGTTTTCCTACGGCTTGTATTCCAACATGTGCTCTTCAAGCTTCACGGCTGTAGTGTGGTCACAAGACAGCTGCTCAAAATCCAGCCATCACGGTTGAATCCCAGGCAAAGAGAAAGAAAAAAAAAAAGATAAGAGTCCAGGCCTCTGCCGGATGCATTAGCTCACCTGGAAGGTGTAATCAGTCACTTCCCTTTCCGTAATAGGGGCCACCAACATCGGCCGTACAGGAAGTTAGGAGCTAGGATTGTTCTTAGTTGTGCATATCTCGATATGGTAAGGTGGAAGAGGACGGGAACAGACAGGGAGGTACTCTCTGCCCCATGTGATTCTTGGGCCTTGGATCAGACAGTTTCACCACACAGGCCCCCAGCCAGGAGGGTGTCATACAAGGGAGCCACAAGGTGGACAAGCTGGGGTACTCTCTCTGCACAACCTGTTCAGGGACCTAGAGCTGCCAGAGCAGGGGCAGCGTCCACACCAGTGCGAGTCCAGAGAACTGAAAGCCAGGGCTTGGCTTCCTGTGGATGTCTTATCATCCTCCGGGAACCCGGCCCCGTGGCATGTGCCTCGTCTCCACCTGTAGTGGAACACCTGGCAGCCATATGACATTCCCAGATAAGCACAGGACCTTATGGCCCTCAAGGGACTCCAGGTCTAAGGGTACCTGTGTTCCTTTAAGAATCATGGCTGGGGTGTGTGTCCCCACCACCCGTACCCTCATGCCCTGGGAACAGCAGTCAGCATGTTGAAAGTCCAGCATAGGGGGCGGCTGCCTCCATGGTGGAATCCAGGCAGGCTCCCAAGAGGAGGCAAGGTTTGGAAAGGGAGGGACACACAGCCCAGGTGGAGGAGGAGATTCTGCAGTTGGAGTACACAGTGGTGCATGTTTAGAAGTCAGGAAAGGTGTATCATGTGAGCTAAAAGGGTGACAAAAGCTAAACTGGCTCTTGGGACTCCTAGTAGAATTCTCTAGAACCTTGCCCTAAGAAGCGCATTCTCAGTTGCCTACAAGGGCAGACAGGCAGCATGCATGGGTCCCCTGGGCTGGATATGTGAGTTTGGAACAGTGGGCTGGGACAAGGCTGGGGAACACACACACATTCAAGGCCCGGGCCACTGCTGGCCTGCTCAGTTCTTCAGGGAAGCCAGGTGCAC